GGAAAGAGTAAAGATCACAGAGTAACATGAGAGGATGATTAACCTGATCGTATGGCGGGACCATATTCGCAACATTGCGGACCACAAAAGCTTCCCCTGGTTGGAAATCAAGCACATGGGACGGGCAAACCCGGGAATCCGAGCACGCAAACACCATAAACTGTAACATTTTGATTACAACACAGGCATCAAAAATATCTCAAGAAACCCAACTTTTTCTTTTTTATGAAGAGACTCGTTGGGTTTGGGTCACACACGACATGAGAGCAATCTTTCTTTACTATATAATAACTAAATAAACCATGTTTACTATTTCATTATGACTCCATCTTGGTTAATTATAGTTACCACTTAGCACATGCATGTCTATGATTAAGCGTGCGTGCGCACCTTGGGGCTTTGGCCTTTGGCAAGCTCGGAGTACAGTCCCGGATTCTTGCTGCCAAACAAAAAGCACAAAAACCACTTCAAATACATAGCTATTAGCTACGAACTCCTGTGTGTATTAAGCATGTACTAGAAGAATTGTAAGAGGAGAAAGAGAGTGAATATGACAGACTCATATTTCTCCTTCTTGAAGTGAATGAAGCCGGATTTAATCTTCTCAACAGGTTCGAATGCCTTAGGGTCAGAAGATGAGGCGGTTTGTAATTCAGCTGTTATCTGCTCCACTTTCGCAGCTGCTACAGTTTTCAGATCTTCCTTATCACTGCAACCGACCATTCAAATACACATTACTTCATTAATACTTTAGTTATATACAAGCTTGTTCTCTCCACTGCCATTTAGCTCATGCTTTCGCTTCCCCTAATTTAATTTTTTTTTCTTACGTTAAGAAAGGAGAGATTATCTTTTAATTAGTTCTTACGTACACTCTGCTCGGGGAGGGATGAAGGGAACTTAGGGAAGAAGAAGGATACATGGGATGGAGGAACATGAAAACACTGTTTTACCATTATTTTTTGCTACGATAAATAATAGGTTTTTTTTCGTTTTTACCTGAGGAGTTTCTTGAGAGATTCAATAGCCTCGTTGTAGTCCTTTCCCATTTCTTCGCCTCTCTGATAATTCCGTCCCAAAGCATTCAGGAATATTAATTTTTTAAAAAAGGAACGTGTAAATTATATAATGAAAGGGAAGGAAAAAAACAAGGCAGCAGAAAGTACTTACAAGAAATTAAATGAAAAGAGAGTGAAGAAACCTATTCAAATGCATGTCGCTAAGATACGCAATAAATTAATGCATATCGAAACGCATAAAAATAAACTGTCAAATGAGAACTCTTTACTACGCTGTAAATGTTGCCAAACGAGGGAACAGAACTGAGTTTTTTCTCCCCTTCTCTTGGGTATATTATTTTATGAATGGACAACCTTTTCTGTTGCCCTCTTAGAGGAATCTTAACTGGCTTCTATCATGTACATGTATGTATACATGATGTATAGAAGATTTGCATCAACTATATGAATGTTTCTGGAACGTACCAGGTTGATACAGGGGATGTTTTTCTAAGATCATCCGAAAAAAAGATTTAATATCTAGAGTTTGTGTTTTTATTATCATCAACCATTTTGTGAGTCCTTTAGTTTATGGTTGAAAAGATGCCTATTACACACACACTAGTAAATAATAGTTAACAGTATATGCATGCATAATGCATTGTACTGTACCCGAGGTGGATAGAGAATAGGAGCAGGGGCTGCGAAAACAGGCTGGTTTCTGATAAGTGTAGGAGGAGAAACAGAGGAGTTGAGGCTAGCGAAGACTGAAGGACGTAATGCGGGTAGTGATCTCTTAGAGGCGGAGACAGAGGTGAGACACCAGCTGTTAATCGAAGCCGTCGACATTGTTCACGGGACCTTAGGATTCTGTGGCTTTATACCCATTTTTTGTAGATAATGAAAACGATAGCTCGGTGAATAAAAGCTATTGCCTTTGTAGATGAGGTTTGGACGTTCGAGATCGATGCTGCCTCTCAATCCTCATCGTGATAGCTCGTACCGTTCCTCTTCTTGTTTTTGTTTTTGTTTTTTCCCCTCAGCGTTCGAAAATTGAAAATGTATTTTGGAAGCTCGTTTTCTCAGACATGCTAATTTATAATTTCAGTCAATATATGCTTCCCATATTATATTACATTATATTATAGACAGACAATTATAATTATTTTGGGATTTAGAGATTACCATCTTATTAGATTCACGTTCGATGCTATAAATAATTACCATATCAATTCATTATGGGAAATGTTTCCATTACATATAGGCACTAATAAATGAAAAGGTTATTTAGAGTTGCATTGCAATATGCCGTTCTGAATTATCTCTGTATGAGGCATCTTCCCTTCAATGGATGCCGGATGATTCATGTTAGATAGACCTGTCTATCCTAGTCTTAACAAAAGCAGATGGGTGGCACGTGTCTGTATTGCAGAGGATGAAGATGAAACAGCGTTTTTTATGGTTAAAAAGCAGATAGCTATATCCTTTTGAGCCATGGAATAACTGGTGCAAATGTGGCACACATGATGATGAGTGATGGAAAGTGGAGATAAGATCCTATCCCTAAAACATGGCTCTGGAGCCATTGGTGATCCGAACTTGCTAGAGACCGGCCCCTTGCATCCCTTGTAATGTCACTGACATGAGGATCGAGAGGTTTGGTCTTCCATGTGATTTTTACCAAGAGCTTTGCCTTGTATAATGACTTTGTGATTTATCAGTGATGCTGGATATATTAATTCGGATGCCTTCGAGAACGAAATTTAAAAGTAAAAAACTACAGAAAATGACCTTACCTAGCTAGTCATATGATCTTGTTGTTGGTATTAATTAATGGGAAAGGAACACAGCACGTAATTCTTACCTCCATAACAGCTCTTGCAGGATATACACATACAAATTCGTTCCCATTGGTGACTTGTAGTTGCTAGACATGAATAGACCTTCAACCAAGAAGTGGAAACCTGCAAAATCCTCTTTCTCCTCGATGAACATTCCAATTCCCAGGCAATACGTGCGCTGGTCTTCTTGTTCAATATTTTGGTACTCTTCGTCAATCATTATGATGGCAAGATTGTGGGGTATTCTCGAGCTAAGATCATACTTAACCATTATTTTTGCGGCGATAATTAGTTGGTCGAACCATTTATTCTCTAGAACACGGACATTGTTGTGACTCTCCAAGCAAGTGAAGCGCTTGAAGGAGAAATTAAGAACATGGGACATGGAAGGTCATATAGTTTCTAGCAATTTTAGATTTTCACTCACTTGTACGAACTAATATTCTTGTGGATATGGAAGGCATGACAACATTATTTGGCAAGGTGTGAACATATTTGATCATCGTCTGGAGATAGTGGTGGGGTAACTGCAAGTTGGGAAGCTTAAAGCTTGTCCTAATTTGTGAGCCAAAAAAGGTTTCGAACACTACAGTTTCATGCCCGTCACTAGACATAATCCTCATCGTAACAAGGTTTATGAGCAAAATGAATACAGTTTCATGTATTATTATATGTAGCGATATATTTACCCATACCTTGCACGGTTTATGAGTAATTTAATTATAATATTGCAATAAAATCTTCAAAGGTTAATTTGAAAATAATTCCAAGAGGACTTGCGTTGCAAGGCAAAAGTTTTGTTTTTCCATTACATCCATCTAAATAAAAGTTAATCAGGCATAACTCGTGGTTTTTTCAATAGAAAATTATATTTGCTTGTTGATTTTTGAAAAGTTACATTTTGCAGCTTAAACTTTATTGCACGTGAATCAATTTACATTTTATACCTGCCATGCCTAAAAAAACTAACAAAAATTATTTAATTATCTATAAATTTGCTATTATTTCTAATTCAATTACTAAAAATCCTTTAAAAATAACAAGAATGTATTTATATTACTATTAGGTTAATTTATATATATATATATATACACACACAAACACACACACAAGACAAGAGAGCATCCAAAAAGAAACAAGTAAGGGCCGAGGTTCAGATCTTGTAAAATATTTTAAATTTTTATAATTTTAGTGTTTAAATATAAAATAAAATAATATATTTTTATTTTAAATGGATAAATTTTTTAATAATAAATTATATTTTGAGTTTTGACCCTTCTATTATATAATTTTAGCTACGTACCTCCCTCTCTTTCTCTCTCTCTCTATATATATATAATCTTTAATGCAAATTATAGAAATATTACTATTCACTATTATATAAGAAAAACACCATATTTTTGCCACAATCCGAACTTATTATCAATCGTAGAAATAAAAACACAAAATCACCTTTCTCTTAACCAAAAAACACTAGCTTTCACCATTTGTGTAGCTAAATTTCTAAGAGCCCAAAAACACTATCTCACTCATCCACATCACACTGCCCAAATTCCACGCAACAATGTTTTCCAATCACCATCAGAACCAACTCACAGTGAAGTTTTATCCATAACCATTTTCTAACATCATTAAAATGTCATCATAATATCATCATCTCCATTAACCGGACGGAGTTTTACGAAGTTGGAAACCTTGGATGGACTTGAACTCAAAAATAGATGGTGCATGAACTCAAAAATAGATGGCGCATGAAATGTGAAAAAAAAGAAAGAAGGTGTTGTTACAATATAAAAAATAAAAGCCAGTAAGAATAAGTTTTTTTCATTGAAGTGATGATAGATCATGCAAGAATATATTAATTGATTGGTGCTATCTACAATAAGTGGATCATGTTCTCATGATATGAAACAAATTGTAGATAAATTCAAAAAAATTAAAGATAAATTATGTAGAGTTTAAAGTAAGAATTATAATATGAAATCTAGTTTTACAACTGTTATATTGTTGTTGGTAGCTATTCTTGTGTGTGATGTTAATGTTTGTAGTTATTATCTTTTTCATTTCAATCTAATAAATTAAAATATTTAAATAACTATAATACACAACATTAGTAACATAAAAGTATTTAAATATAGCACTAGTAGTCACATATTGATAACAACAACAAACATTTTTAATACCAGTATTGCACATAACATCCCAACAAACATACATATATGCCTTCCTAAATATTTTTCACATTAAAATATGCATGACCAACATCTTTAAATTCAATCCTTTTTTGATGTATACAAGGCACCATATGCTTACATGGAATTTTAGTAACCATCCACTCACCATATGGACATTGTCCTTTCTTCAAATCAACACAAAGCCTAGTTTAGCCCCTTATACACTTGGTACTCATTAGAACTAGCTAGAACTAGCTAAAATCATTCTTATATTTCTTGTCTTCTTAACATAATTGTCCAATAAATTTCTAACTTTGAGGGTGGTCTTTAATTCCCAAATTAAATCCTAGGTAAATCTATCATAAAACTTAGTCATTAGCTTCAACTTGATTTTCTAATAATATAACAATTTAGCAAACTCATATACTTCACATCTCAACTATTAAAGGATTTTGTTATATTATTAGTTATATTGTTTTACTTTAAGATGATAGTTAAATATATATCTAGACCAATGCTCAGAAGGGATGTTATTCAACTAATAAAAAAACACAAACATCCATTTCTCTAATGTCCTTCATGTAATTTTTAAAATCAATAGTTATGCAAGATTTTGATACACTCTAAAGTCTGATCTTAAGTTCCAAGCCTCTAAAAAAAAAAATATTCATATTAGCATAAATATACCTTAAATAATGCTTGTGTATTTCCTTAAGAAATATCTATGCTACTACTTTAGGCAAAATTTATACATAACAAAACAATTGTAATTAGTGCATGAAATTCATTCCAAACATCAAACATAAATTATAATAAAAACATAGTTTACTTTATGTTTGTCATTTTTTTTTATTCAAGAAAACCACACTCCTCAAAAAGCATATTTTGTGGGTCTAGATGAGCGAGTAAAACCTCAACTATCCTAGATTTTTACAAAAAATGCACGCCCTGACTCGAACTCGAGATCTACTATGCAGATCTCAAGCCCTTTGTCATCACGCTACGCTTTTTATGTTTGTCATGCATTATACAAAAAGGGTTTTTTTAATATATATCATACCTAATGGATTCATAAAATACATATAGAAACCACATCATATTTCTTTGTTTTCATACTCAACAATAATATAAACCATTGTTGTTATTTAATATACACCCATCAGCCATACATTTTGCTACCACTTTATGCTTTTGATCAATATATATTTTTCTAATGGTAACCATGTTTCACTTTGTACTCTCTCAAAACATCTCTTAATTCATTTACATTGCTGAAAACATGAGATTCTTTAAACTTTATAAAACCATCAACTCCTAACTTAAACATTTTATATTTGAACCTAGTGTAGGCCATCCTTTCTTTTTTTTATATATATATTTGTTACTCCGACCGATATTATCCTTATCAATAAAACCATCATTGTTATCACTCTCAACTTTTTCATAACTTGTAACACCATCAACATCACTACTAGATTTTCAATTATTGTCTGAATTAGAATCATCATAAAAAGTTTTCCCAGTTGAACCATCACCTACTAAACTATCAATCCAATCATCTTCAGCTTCGTTCTTAAACTTAAATCCTTCCTCCCTACAAAGGATATAGTCTTGATCTTCTTCCTTGCTATCACTATATATCTCAACAACATCATCACTCTCAATAGAACCACCCACATTGTCATCTATTTCAATTTCAACCCCTTCACTAGAACCATTAACATTAGTATTACCATTACCACCATCATCATCACTTAAGACAACATCATCATCTTTATCACCAAAATTAACTAACAACACAACCTTATTATTCTTTCTACCTTCATTATCATAAGAAGAATTAACATGAATTTGAAAAATCCCTAAAGACCTGATCTTTTTTTCTAGTAAGATTAAGGCATAAAAACAACACCATAATAGATTTGTTATCATTAAATAGAACTCATTAATACTAATATTATTTTTTTATTATCAAAATATGATCAAGCAACAATATTCTCTCTTTTTTTGTTTTCTAGTGATTTTCTCTCTCCTCTCTCAAACTCAAGAACTTAAAAATAAATAAAATAAGGTTTTAGACAAAAAATAAAAGGGAGTAAAAAAGAAGTCAATGTAAATTTGGTGGATTGAAAGGCACTTTTTTGCACCCATTTGAGATTGACCAAGGGGTTTTCTTCAGTTTTTCAGTTTGGTCCATGATCTTTTAATTGTATCTTTCTACTACAAATTCAAACTATATTTCATTGAATTACCGCTGATCAACTTTTAAAATCTAATGAAAACCTTTAAATCTCTAGAACATGCAAAGATAAGGGTCTATCAATTCACAAAGCACCTAAAATTTCATATGAAAAATTATGAAAAACAAGTTTAATGATAAAAAAAAAAGACACTAGTGTGATTTATTGTGCAATTGTCTACAGTGAAATTGCTATCTTTCTTCATTCTATTTTGTAACGTGAGGCACCAAATCTAATTATAGATTATAATGATTTATATTGTTAGTTGTTCATGAGTAACATTTAATACATAGTTATCAGATTTTGCTTGACCTAGAAATAAATCTAAATTCTCGATGACTTGAGATTAATTCGAGTTAGTTTTATTATGATCTAATCTAGTCAAACTTCACTAATCAGAATAATCTAATCAAACTAAGTAGATATAATTAATTTAGTCAATCAAAACTCTACAAGTTAAAGGGGTGTCTTGAAAAGTATGGATATAAATGATGAAATTATATAGTGAAAGTATTTATTCACTAACTAACCAAGTAAATTTTAGACTGAGTCTAGCAACTATAATTTTAATTCATCGTGAAGATACTCATTTGGTGATGACATTGAAATTTAAAAAAAAAACAAAGATCAAGGGAAATTAAGGAGCTATAAAGAAAGGTCAAGGAAAATACATGCGAACTCAATTTTTAATCTCATTAATTTTCACCCTTTTTTTTTCAATCAAGCTGAGCTATATTTTCTTTTATATATATATATTTGAACTATCTACGTAAATTTTTTATTAATTCTACTTTAAATTATTTTTTCTTTGAATTTTTTCTTTATTTTTTGCTTTTATTGACATAATTTAATAAATATCATATTTAACACGTTTTTAAGAGTAAGATTGCTTTCAAAATCAATTTTTTTATACATAAATTTTATAATACTTACTCCATAAAAGATAAATATTAACGAAGAGGAGAGAGGAAACGAAGAGAGAAAATCTTGAAAATTACTTTAAACGGTTGTAAAATGAAACGCTATGAGCATTTCCTACGTATTTACCCGTCACAAAGGTTATAGCAATGTCCTTGGGATATGGAGATGCTTACGTTCTGAATTCACCGCTAAACCAAGCCTCAAAGAAATGCTCATAGCACATTGGAACCAGACTATTGCCAAACTG